TGTCCTTGGTGCTGAACTACATGTGTTAGTTAACAAATGTACATAACCAAAGGATTTTCCAACTTTGAACTTACATAAGAAGTCAAATTTTCACATATGAAATATTTGAAAAGTATTGAATTTTACCCTTCTTCCCTTGTAGTGGCTGGGGTGTTGTATGTGCACATCCACAGTGGAATGGACCTGGTGTCCATGGACAGGAATGGTTTATCAGATCCCTACTGTATCGTCTTCTGCAACAAGAGAAAGGTGAGTCTGACTCAGCACATCTGATAGTAATTTCATCAGGTTGGTAGAACATAGGATATTTGGATTTTCTTTATACATAACCAGTGCTGAATAAAGAGACTCTTTTTATAAATTTACAGAACCACAACGTTTATTTTAGCCAACGTTTCCATAACAATCTGTCACCTCCTCAGGGTAATTCTGGCTAGTTCACATTGCACAACAGCACAGGTGTAGAGTTCCCACTTTACATATCTACACAGTAAAAAGAGTCTCCTTATTCAGTGACTTACCAACCTGATGAAACTATCTACAGACATAACCAGTGCATCTCCTCACATTTGCATGTCTCTCCTCAGAGCATCTAACTGGAGTACTGCTTCTCATTGTTATGCGTAGGCAATTTAGGTGGCACTTTTTCTGCAGCAAGGACACAATCCCGAAAGTGGCTAAGTTTGTATCCCCCCTTACCTGGTTCATCCCGGGGTTGACTTTTTTTTTATCCAGACAGCTTCCAAGATCCATTATATTTATCATGCTTGGGATTGTGTTCTCGCTGCAAAAGTGACGTCTACATTGGCTACATATAGTGGTGAGAGACAGTACTCCAGTCAAAAGCTCTGAGGTGGGTGTCTGATAGATATCAAAACGTAAAAACATAATGGTTGTGTATAGCAAAATCCCAATATCCCAACTCAACACAGTTGTCCAGTTCAACAGCCCAATCATCTTACCTCTTTACCCCTTGGCATGTACTCCTATTCACAAAGATGTTCTTGTAAAGTAAGATCAATGACCCAATCACCATAGGAGTGCTGTAAAAGCTGACTCTGGCCGTGGTGCCATGATTTCTTACGACGGCTTACTTTAAGGACTCTCTTAACCCGTTCTATAAATGGCACGGGTCATTACTAATGCACGACTGGATCGATACCGCCTGAGGAAGTGTACAGTCTGAGAACTTCATCAGTTGCCCCATTGATTGTGACACCTTTAACGAAGGCGTGTTAATTTGTTTGCTATGCAAAATTGATGAGTCTGTAAAAGGGCTTAAGTGTTCACCTCCTCCAGTATTCCCAGTAGTTCCATTAGTAAGAGTTTTACTTTTCCTGCCATTTATACTTACAGCCAATCAAGCCCTTTATAATGAAGGGACGTGTCTTGTGAATTATTGGGGATTTTGTTTCGCATTGCTTGTTGTTGTTGTTGGTGGGTTGAATCTCTTCAATGCAGAAATGGAAGAACACTTACGCTAGTGTCTCTGTTCATGTTCACAAAGTAATACTAAAATTCAAAAATTAAAAGCTTATTTTCTATATAATAACTACTGCCTTAAACAGTGAAGAATGTATTTGCAGTTGGTAGCTTTATAGATACATGATTGATGTGAAGACGGTTAGTTATTTCCCGTAGACTGAAATGTCTTAATTGGGAGACGTACAGCAGCAAAATGCTTTTAAGCAATTTCAGCAAAGAAGATTTGGAAGCAGCTAATTAATAGCCTTTGGCATTTAAAGGTTGTCATACAGTGCCAAATTTGTTTTGATTAATCACCTTGGAAGTTTGGGTAATAAAAGTTGAAGTGGTGTTACAGTAATAGTTCTTGGAAAAAAGTTAAGCCTAGCTGGTAATAGCGGTTAGGCAACAATGTTGTCAAGCTGTCATCTTTCGAAATAATGGCTGGAAAATATGTGTGATGAATTAAGAGCTGCTTGTTTGGGTGCCGGAAAAGTGCTTACCGTAACACAGTGGCTTTCGACAAATTGGCTTACAGAAGGGTTTGACGTCATAAGGGCTTTTAAGACACTGTTTCCTAAAGCTTGTGAAATGGGCCCATCTGTCAATCTCTCCATGAGATGTATAATTAAGTTATCTCAGCAAAGTTTCCGATATATACTATATAGCTTGGCACTACCTAAAGTTCTATGAAAGCTGCATACATGTTACTAAGGCTTACCTTGGAACTGTATAAAATCCGTTACATCCCTTACGTACAAAATTATGAATTTCAAACAATAGCTGAAAAGCTTGGTTGGATATCAATGATGAAGATGCATAAGCAGCTATATTCAGTGAGTTTCCTGTACAGTCACTCAGATTGGTTATGTTGTCACTCAAAGCATGTCAAACCATTGGTAAGCATTTTGTTACACATTCTCATGCTCATTTCATTTTCCTGTCCCTTCCATGACTGTCATTTGCAATCGACTTCACCTTTTCAAAGACATTGCAGATTACTACAAGACAAATGAAAATATGTAACAGTTACACCTCTAACAATTATGAAATACCAACGAAGGCATTGACATTGAAATGTGATAGATGACTGTTTCCAGCTCAGTGCAGACAAATTATTACTGTAACAGTAAAATTAATCTCATAATTAAGGTCTGCTTTAAGAAAAACATGATTACTAGATGGAAACTGTGTGAAAAGATAAATGCCATATAAATTATTCGCTGTCATTTTCAGGTCAAGACCACACATTATGTCTGCAGCACTCTGAATCCCAGCTGGGAGTCTAGTGTGGAGTTTTTTGTTGCAAACTACACAGAGGTAATTATATAAGACATGTCTCCACGTTGCATTAGTGTGCTGAAAATAAGTTTGAAGACAAGCCATGAATGTGGCCTGTTAATTATACATCTGTGTATTGCTATTGGAATTGTTTACAGGACTATTACAAGAATTATGATACACTGTGACTGTCTTTAAAGCATTTGGAGAAGATTAATTCATACCATAAACTCAGGATGATGTTATCATCCAAAAACTATGAAAGACTTCAAAGAGCAGTTCTTTAGCCAGATATTTTGAAAAACATACTAGTAACATCAAACATAATATCAGATATGTTTGTATTCTAGTAAATGCTTGTTAAAATTCCAAGCTTTGCTTGCTTTTATGTCAAAGTGTATAATTTGTGTAATTGCCTACCTATGGCACTGACTTTAAAATGGCATCTAGTGATTTGACCTTAGATGCCCTTCTAATCACAACAAGCAATTTCCAACATCACAGACTTTCGTATGTTTCTCATTACGCTGACCTTGTGGTTGGCCGTTAAAGGTCGTATAATCACAGTGTCTTCCATAGATCACCCTGTCCTTCCTGGTATATGACTGGGATGGAAGGAAGTTCTGCAATGATGACTTCTTGGGGTCGTGCAGCCTATCTCTGGCCCAGGTTAGTGAGAAAGTTCTTTAAAACTTCTCTAGTTACAAGCAGAATTGAATTCAAGAACTTAAAGGTAACATTTGTAACAAGTTTACTTCCACATGGTCTAGCTTAACAAGTAACTGTTTTGTCTATTCTTACTCACACACATTCATATATGGTGTCCAACCCCTCCAATTCTGTCCTGCCACTTGCCACATAATGTAATCCAACACCATAAGTTTGTCTGCTAGTTACCATGGTGACAGCCATCTGGCCTAGGTCATTCAATCTTATTTGTTTGCAATGGGAGAAGAGGAAGAAGAGTAAATAAAGCAAAACAATATGTTCTCCTTCTGCAATTTAGGCATGAATTAACATGATAAGAGTTCTTGTAGCACTTTGATTTCGTAGGAGCTACATGTATGTGATGAGTCAGCAGCAAGTGGTGAAATTTTGCCTGTTGATGCAACCATCATTATCTGTGATTAGATCAGAAAACCTTCAGGGGAAAAAAGATGTTCTAATGACACCTGTATGGAAAATCAATGACATGGCTGCTATAGGGATTTAAGCACTTTGTACCAGATAAGTCAGAAATCTGCTCTAAGATTGACTTCTTTTCATCTTGGTAAAGCTTTAATGATTTATGAGAGATCAGAAATCTACATTCTATGCTTGAGGGTGGCTTGACCTATTTTGGCTAAGACTTCGATGAAAAGAAAAGATTCCAACAAAAGCTGTATTGACTCATCATGTATACAAGGAATCAATCTATGCATTAAGGTACTATGCCTACGTGTAGAAGCTAAAAGGAATATGCCAGCAAAAAGCTGGTAGTAAGTGATGGCGTCCTTGAAATTTCCTTCCTTGACTGGAAGAGATGAGTAACGTGTACTCTAGGGGCTTGTACACCTGTAGTCTTCACCCTAAATGACCCCTAAGAAGCATTTGGTTGGTAAAGGTAATGGACTGTAGAAGGAAGCCTTCATTTGTCAGCAGGTATTCTGATAGTCAAGCTTTCAATGGACATCTTTACTGACTCCAAACCTGGTGTGAATCATGTTACAAATGACCTTTCTTCTCCCACCAAACATTTTTCAATCCAGAGTCCTGGCTTAAGTTTTCAGCCAAACCTTTGACAGGTTGTTGCCAAATAGATATGTGCTGCCTTTGCTATGGTTTAAGTGACTTTTCCCACATTTTCTGTTGTGTACTACAGTATGAGTTGCACCTTTTTGGACTATTCATATATAGTGACATATTGTAGTCAGAACTTACTGCCTCTGCTCAAAACCCAGATTTTTCACAGTTTTTGTTGGATGTTTGGTCAGTGTTGCATTATCTGTTACAGAGATAAGTTTAAAACATATTTCCTGACAGAACATTTGAAAACTATAGAATGACATGGTGTCACCTTGAATAAGTGAATAAGACCCAGCATGCACACTGGAAAGGGGCGTGGTCCGCCGTTAATTGTGCAATTTCTACAGTACAATGAACTTGTAAAATTGATACTGATATAGCATCTGTCTTCTCTGTCACAACTGTTTCTTCTTTCCTCTTCTTCCTTTGCAAACCAATAAGGTCTGTCACCATGGTATTACTACTACTGTAACAGTAACTGTAGTATTGGGTTAGATCATGTTGCAATTTTATAGCAGGAGGGATTTAGACTCCTGTCACCATATGTATGAATATGTTTGAGTATTACTGAGAATTAACAGAGCAGACCAGAAGGTGAAGGTTAACATCATGCATTTGCTTTGCAAATGCTACATTTCTAGTTATGTCGTACCTTTCATTCCTGGAAACATGCCAGCCAGGCCCCAGGCTGGAAATTACAATGTATGACCTTAGCGTTACTGGTGTTTTTGTGTCTCCTTCCAGGCCCCATCCTGCACCCTGAGGAAGGTAATGCCCCTGGGGTACGGGGTGGGGGACAGGGTGGCAGACATGGGCTCCATCACTGTGTCAGTGGTCTTCAGGCCGGTGGGATCCGTGGCAAAGTGTGTCGGTAAGTCAACTTCTTTATATCCTCCTTGGCAAGCTCTAAGAGTCATGCTTTTTTGATCTTATAAATTAGATGTGCTTTTTTCCTGAAGGCATATATTCAATGATTGAATATGGTGTCAAATGGCCAAGTGGTAACTCCATCATGATATCAGACACAAGATGAAGAGGTCAAGGATTCCATTCCTAGCATTACTGGTTTAAGACGTTGTGTCCTTGGGAAAGACACTTAGCAAGACCACCCAGGCATAAAATAGGTACCTCTGACTTTGGTAGCTGAGGTAAAAGGTGGTGGAAGGAGAGGTTTGGGCTCTGCCTTCCAACATTGTGCCCTTAGACACAGTGCATTAACAACCCAATGTCCTTACATCCTGAAAAAGGCTATGGGATCATCTTTACCTTGAGTTTATACTTACTATTCTCAATACATGGTTTCTTGAGGGCTGTATCCTTAGAGGACCGAAAACTGTTAAGCCATCAGAAAAAAGCAGTGCCATTACAAGTTCCCCAAATCCTAAACTGTAAAGTACTAAGAGGATAAATTTTCCAATATCTGAAGCAGCCACCCACAGAATGGTTGGATACGACACATTACTAGTATTTATGAAGGAAGAGTTTGGCTTGATGCTGACATATTCAATATGTAAAAACATTGAGCGTAGCAAACACAACTATAGCAACTCACAGAGCATATCAGAAAGATAACTGGTTCCATTTACCATAGTTATAGCTACCATAAGGTGGTTGTTATCATTATCATAGCTGCCACAGCTACAAGAAATTATTGAAGCAGTGCTGTAAGATTAAAAATCAACAGCTGAAGATTTACAGTTCTATCGGACTGATGACCAATTTCGTTGTACACTTTAAACTGTAAGAAAACATCTGGTGCTAATAAGCCCTTTTCAGTGGATAGTTTTAGATAAATTTCCTTTAATTTTCCACTGTAATGCATACCTGTGGATTCACTGAGCACAAAATTCATTTTCTTTATGGCTGACTGCAAAACGCATTCTTCAAAGGGCCGCTCCTTAGTACTACCCTTCCTCACATGATGAGCAAAGTGTGAAGAATAAATCTTGTAACAGGGCTGGAAATACTGGGTGCATGTGCACCTGATTGCACTCAAAATTGGAGCTGTGCACCCAATTGTTTTCTGTGGGTGCATTGGTGCACCCAAATATTTTTGAAGGTATTCTTCTACATATCAAATGTATAACTATTATATTTAAGTATACACTGGATATTCTTGGCATCTTAGTGTCAGAAAGTAGTTGTAGTTGTTTAAGGTTTTGAAGTTAGCTCCCATTTCAGATTCAAGCTCAAAAGAGTAAGTAAGACCTGTAATTTGGTTTTGTTTCATATGGTGCACCCAAAAAACTTTTTGTGCACCTAATTTTTTAGGTTGGGTGCACCAGTGCACCTACCGGCATTCCCCAAAATGAATTTCGAACCCTGCTTGTAGTGAGACACGACATTTCAACCATTTCCTGCAATGATTACCTTTCTGCTCAGCAGCTGTCCTAGTTTTTCATCCATCAAATCTTGATTGTCTCGTAAGAACGGCTATTTATGGAATCCCCTCGCACATCCATTTACTGTTCGGAGTCCCAAACGTGTTCTTCTTCAATTTCTTTTATGTACGAAACTAATCTCGTGGCACAAAAGACAGTGTTAAAGATGTTAGACTACTGCGAAAAAGCATGGGAAACTCATAATGAGTCCCGAGAGAGGTCGCAATCAGTCTTCATTCGTAAGGAAATGTTAAAGAGAGATTAACAGACAAAAGGGGATCCTACTAAATTGAATTCCTGTAGGAACTGGGTTATAGATTAACCTTAATGGCTCGTAAAAGGACATCTGTGACACTACTGTGCATGTCAATGGCTGAGGTAAAGTGGGTTGAATGCAATTACGGAAAGGATATTGAAAGAAATGAGGTTGAATTTTCATGTCCTCATATGCTCCTTTCAAATTGGTAAACAAACATATTTTGCCAATGTTCTGAACCAATCTCAGTAAGTCATGAAAGTTTATAGATTTCTTATATTGCATATTTTGTATAACATTTGTTGAAGAAAGAAGACATTAGGAATCATGTTATTTAGACTAGTGCAAATACAGGACTGGCTTCTGAATTCATGTCAGACAATATTCCCATACCAAAAATTTTATTTTTACATTTATGAAAATTTCATGTAGTAAACACAGGATGTAAATCCCTATATAGAGAGAGTATTACCCTCAATGCTCATGTTGTATATCATTGAAAAGCTGCATACCTGCTAATATTATTATCTCATAAAACCCGTACTAAGGCTGTCCCAACTCCATTCACTGCTTCTGTGTCCTAGTCATGTTACATGGTTTTCATAGTGCTTGTTTTGTTTGTTTTTACACAACCAGTAAACTGCCTTTAGGTGTAACACACCAGTTTTGCATAAGACCAGACTGTAAGGAAAGGCTCAAGGTATGTTGCTTTCCTCAAACACAGGACCTCTGGCTGTATATCCCATTCAAGAGGAAGTCCCTAATAAAATCTAGGTACTCATTTCACCTGAGTTGAGTGAGGAAATAGACGTGAAGTGCCTTTCCGGAGGACACAACATTGGAGCCTGCCAGATCCACAAGACCATTGAATGTGTTATTATATTTCCTAAGAATTGCTGAACCTGTAGAATTAAATGACTCTATGTTATTTTGTCTGGTCTCCCTTTCAGACCGCCTGACTCAGCGAGAGAGTGAATCAGACATAGAGAATGCCGGCAGCTTCAACAAACAGAAGAGACGATTCATGGCATCCATGGTAAGATGTACATCTGAATGAATACATACTGATATCCCGTTCTTCCTTGTGTAATGTCCTTCTTCGATTGACAGGCATATTCAGAGACAACTTTACTTCATCTGGTTGACTGAATACATCGACTTTCTTAATGGAAACATACAGTACAAAAAGACTTTTCTTACTCAACTAGTAGTTTTATTCAGCCAATGTTTCAGTGACCTCCTGTCTGACGTTCTTCACTTGGTTTTGTAAAAAAAAAGAGAAGACTCTTTTCATTCAGTCACCAACCTGATGAAACTATTTACAGATGAAATCATACAGTCAATAAAAGCAACTACAGTAGGTGACTGTTCTTGTGCAAGAAACTATCTTGTGTTTTGAAAGTTAACAGTTAAAAGAACACTTTAAAACTCAGGCCTGCACATTGCTTCAAAATCATTAGATTTTCTATGGTTTACCATATAGTGGTTCTTCAAGTATAAGGACTGAACATTGTGTAGCAAAGGTTTACACTTGCCTGAACTGTGAAATCAGATTACAGCTTTTATGGTTACTTGAACCTTGTTTCTTGCTTTTGCCCCTCCTGCTTATGATAAACTGCATCTCCTGCCTGCCCCGGGACATCAGCTGTCTTTGGTAATCCAATCAACTTGTCGCATAACTCACTAACCCCTGATACCACAGGTCGACTCACTAACACCCCTACACACACCACCAGAGCCAGCACACAGAGGTTGTCTGTTATCTGTTAGATATCCATTGGAAGGTCTGACTGTGAAAACAACTATGGTTTCAGCACCTAGGACATGGAATGCAAAAAAAACAAAGTGAAGAAAAATAGCATTTACGTAGTGACAAAGACTGTATTTACTAGTGACAAAGATTGTATTTTTCTTTTACACAACCAGCTTGCCTATCAGACACCTTCTTCAGAGCTTATGACAGCTTTTTGCCGCTATATGTAGCCGAGGCAGATGACGCTTTTGCGACAAGAACACAATCCAAAACATGGTTAAGTTTGTATCACCCTTGTCCCAGTTCTTCACTGGGATTGGCTCCAGTCAGAAGCTCTAAGGAAGGTGTCTGATAGACATTAAAAAGTGAGAGATATTCCTGGTTGTATACATTTTAGAAAATCCCAATATCCTACCTTTTGGCATTACTTTTGGGAACATTACACAAAAAGTCATTGTTTTTTAATGAAGCATCTGAAATTTCTTTTTGGAATCACACCAAAGTCTAACAGTGTTCCTAGACAGCAGACAAAAATGTAACCAAGAAATTTTCCCTCAGAAAGTACAGACAATCACTGATGTAGTACTCCGGTGGTGCGTGCAGGATGAAAAGTACTTCATACAGTCGTGTTGTTCTCTTGACAACGTGGTATGCCTTGTATGTTTTCTGTGACTGTATGTTAGCTACCTTGCCAAGCTGGGAGTAAGCTTGACAACAAAAAGGTACTTTCTTTCTCTGTCCTTACTAACATTTTCCCCTCTCTACCTGTACTAAGCTGTAATTTTTCTTTGTTGCATCTAACATCTTCATCTCTGTCTATCCACATTGAAAGTATTATTTTTATTGTTTTAATTGCTAACACATCGGTTTATTTTCTTTCTGCCCAATTGCTCTTGATCACTTTCTTTCATCCTGTTACACCAAACAACACATTGATGTTAGGATTAGTTGTTAATGCATGAAATCCCTCTGTGCATATCTGCACTTGCTGTTGTACATTGTATCACCTGCCTGTAGTCTAATACATGTACATCTTAACAAAGTCTACAAGAATTTCAATGATTTAACTAACCTTCCCATATGTTTGTGTATTGGTGTTCTAAGCAACAGGGAGGAACAAATTCCAAACTAGTTTACAAATTGTGGTAGAATTGTTTTTTTTTAATGAAAACTTCATCCAAAGATTGCCTTTATGGAATGATTTGACTAGCGTGTTTTAAAATTATCAGTGCAAACTTTTGAAGTTTTGGTATGGTCCTACTTACCCTAGTTGAGCACTTCAGCAGAATGTGTCTGTCCCCCCAAAAATGGGCACTTATACTATAGCACTTCTACTGAACATGTTGTTTAAGGTCGTGTCTGTGTATGTATGGATGACATCCGATCTGTAGTTTTAAAACATTGTATCATTGAAGAGTATGTCACGGACAAAATTCTGATGTAATGTTGACCAAATGTCCAGCAGAAAGAATGGTTTTGTGCAGAAGCAGTCTTTTCTACAAAATTAATGTGCTCCCTATATGCAATGTTTGATAATGGGTATTCCAATTTTGTGCCAAACAACTTTTCAATTATGAAACTAAAAGGGAAACAACATAGTCCTGGAAAGGTTTATCAACAGAACATAATCTCTGACAAATTATGATTTTTTTTCACAGTCCAAGTTTAAGCAACCAGATGCACTCTCAGGGGTAAGTCAAGGTAAGTACATGTATCAATCAAGGTAAAAAGTAGAGACATACCTTCTGAATTGGTTTACTTTCCCATAAACTTTCATACATTGATTCAGTTTATAGGGACTAAAATGTACCCAAGCATCTTTGATATAATTGCTGTACAGTACCAGTACACCTTATGCTACCCCAGTTATCAGTCATACCTGTTTTTGTTTTAAATGTTATCAGGCCATGGACTGATGGAGTTGAACATTCTGAAGGGGAAGGACTTGGAAGCCAAAGACATGAATGGTAGGCAGCTCTTCAGTATTTGTTGTGGAAAGTGTTACTGTTAATTTAAAGGCATTTATCCTAGGATTCCAAAGGTGCATTTATAAACTTCACTAATGGAAAATGCATAAACTTTACTAATGGAAATGCTCATAAAGTCTCAGAGCAGTTAAGATTAGGTTGGTGATGGTTTAACATCCTAGTAAACAATACTCAGAGGTAATACAAACAGAGTTAGAGTTTGAATTACCTATACTTTTGGGTGGTGCAGCTGTAGTTCAGAAGAGCCATCTAGAGAGTTGTTTTGGAATTACAAACATTTGGAACACATGTACAGTCCATTGTACATGTACTGCTACATTCAAACCATTGCAGAATCTTTGCACATAGATTGTATATGATTTGTGATCAGTTAAACAAAAAAATGTATGGTTCCTCAACTGTCTAACAGGTCTGAGTGATCCTTTCTGTGAAGTCAGGATCAAGAACGATCTCCTCTTCAAGTCAACGGTGATCAAGAAGAGTCTGAACCCAGTGTGGGACGAGTCGGTCACCATCAACATGCCTGCACAGAATGAGACACTGGACATTGTATGTTTGAATATACTGTACATAGAATACAACACGGTGTATTCTGTATCACCCAAGGTACCGGCCTGACTGTGAGTCAGATCTCCCAAAGGCTGAAGGGAGATCCAACCTGTGGGTGGGCTGGGACTGCAGGTGATACAGAATACACTGTGTTGAATTTGATTATATTGTACCAGCCCGAGAAAACTCACAAATTAATGCAAAATGAGCTAGAAGTTGAGAAAAGTTTGTTTCTCTAAACAAAAAGGGCGTAACTTCATGTGCCTGAATTCTCTCCAAATGCTCCTGGAAGAATAGTCCCAGATGTTTATTTCTAGTTTCAAATGCGCAGCATTTTAGCTGTGCCATTCAATTTGCTTGTAACCGTTCCTGAAATATCAGGATCATTGGTACTTTTCATGAGACTGTTTGGGATGAAATCATCCCTTGATTTTCTGACACATTTTTCTTTGTGGTTTAGGCCATGTTGATTTGATTATATGGATGACATCCGCGCGCGCATGAATTTTCGGCCGTTTCCAAAAAAAAAAAGTTTTCAATCATACTGTAAATCGTGCAAAACAGTTGCTAAATGAGCAAAAATATACCATAAGTTGCAAGGAAAACATTTAGAAACGATACCAATGTCGTAGAATGCCAAAATCAAAGGAAAAAAAGACAAAAATGTAAAGAAATGAATTCGAAGAGTAGATTATTCGCCGTAACATATTCTGTGCCATTTGTTCAACCTTCATGACCACGTAGATTTCATAGTGAAAGCAACTTTTTTTTTTTGCAAAACTTTTTTTTTATTCGCACGCCCGCATCAGTTTTGGGGTTCCCAGAGGATGTCATCCATATAATCAAATCAACATGGCCTTACTTACCTGACAAACAATGTAAATGTTTCAAACTTTTTCTTTCCCTGTGCAGACGGTGTGGGACAGAGATCCCTTCTTCATGAAGGAGTTTATGGGCAGCATGTCATTCACTCAGGAGGACATCCAGAGACTTTCAAAGGTGGGCAAATATTACTGACGGACTGACTTAATTACTACATAGTATGTTTTATCTGGGGAGAGAATCGTGTTCCAATACCTATATCTCCCAACAATTAGGGTAAGGCTTGTCGGGGCATGGGTACAAACTTAGGGGTGTCAGAATATAGAGGGTGTCAGAACATATGGCAGTACATGTATCTACAAATATGTTACTTCTGAACCTGAAATTCTTTATAGGTCACCACCATAAATTCTGGCCCAATAATCACTCGCCGTGCCTATTACGTCAGGAAGAGTTGTACTCCTTAGGATGTAACATTGTAGTTCTTGGTCCTCTGTATATTGTAAATGTTTTGTTGAGCAGTAAAAAGGTCCTTGGAACATTGAACATGTTTATCAGATTGAAAAAACAAAAAGTAAGTTAAGAAAGTTGTGATTTTTTTATTATCTCACAGGAGGGTCCTACATGGTTTGAACTACAGAGAATAAAACAGGGCTCTATACAGCTTATGTTCAAAGTCATCTACAACCCTCAGGTAAGGGATCTTTTATCAACTTTTTTCTTCAGAGAAAAGTGTGATGCGCGGGTGCAAGTTTTTCAAGCAATGAAGGGAGGTCTCAGTTTGACAATGATAGTTTGACACACAATACATGAATCAAGAGTCCCGGGTTTGAGTCCTGATATATGCCACCAATCTTGTGCCCTTGGAAAAGGCACTTAACATGACTTTCCCCACTAGACTCAAGTGAAAATGAGTATTGTCCGTCTAGTATTCGTTTCTATGTGCGGCACACATAGCCTCTGTTCCGCGTGTATTGCACTGTTGCAATTCAATAAATCAAATGTATGTGTTTGTCCATTTAATAGGACTCCAATCATGTAAACTGCATGTTGCTATATTTTGGCTGATCCGTCCCTCATGACCTCGGTGAAATTACCGGCCAATTTGAGCACACAGTATTGCATTAATAAACAGGCTCAAACAAACAAAACAAACATCATTATTTTTCACAAACAAAACTATTAAACAACAGGCTACACTAGAGATAGATTCCATGCAGCAATGAGGGGTGGTCTGATTTTGACATGGTTACATTGTATTTCTCACAAACATAAGTATTAGACAACAGGCTACAGTAAAGGTAGATTCCAGCAATGAGGGGAGATCTCAGTTTGACATCATTTTTTTCTCACAAACATAACTATTGGACAACAGGTCACACTAGAGGTAGATTCAAGCAATAAGATAGGAGGTCTCAGTTTGACAACATTTTTTTTCACCAATATAACTATTGGACAACAGGCCACACTAGAGGTAGAGGCCCTGAGCAGTGAGGGACTGGACGTGGTCCCAGGGGAGTTGGCGGAGGAGGATGAGGAAGTGTTTGAGGAGAACAGTGACAGCCGACGCTCCAGTCAGAGCTCCAGTATCCATCAGTCAGCCAAATCCCCCAGTAAGGAGGGATCACGGCAGCTGGAGTCTGTTGCAGAGGTAAAATTTTCAGTCACTTTTTTCTGCTTTCCATGGTGCTGAAATGCCATCTAGCAGTTGATGTTAACATTGCAGCTTCTGGATAATGTCTGTATTGGAAATTTCTTTGCTCATACACAAAACATGCATGGAAGTTTATAGTTAAGTAAAATGCAGTTAGATATATAGATGCCAATCATTTTGTTGTCTATGGTGCTAAAATGCCACCTAGCAGTTTAGATAAAAAATGCAGTCTGAAATCAGTGCTTGCTTAAGAAGTGCCATGTGCAAAATGCAAAACTGGGTGTTATCCATGGTGCTGAAATACATTCCAGCAGTTAACAAAAATGACCTGATTAACTATGATTAATGATGAACAAAACTAATTTTTATTTTCCTTACCTCTAAGATACTTTCTATCACTAAGAGCAAAAGGACAAGTTGAAGTTATGTCATAGGCTTGTTGCTTTCCATAGTGCTGACATGCCATCTAGCAGTTGAAGCAAAAAGTGCAGAGAGACTTGACTGTGGAAAATAGCTTTTCTTATCTTTTCTATACAATATTAATTTTGTTTTCTTTTTATTTAGAGGTAAGGTGTAGCATAGAGGATGTTAGAAAATAATATTACTGAAATGGATTCAAAGTGAAAGGATGCCCATTCTACATTGAAACACTGACACATTCCTTCTGTTTCTCAGTCATCTCAGTCTGAGTCTGAAGCCCCACCAGAGAAGCCCAGGGTGGAGAGGTTCTCCTCTCTGACAGGGATGTTCAGAAAAAAGAGCCTTCCTCGCATGAATGTGTTGAACACAAGTCAAAGCACAACAGAAAGTACGACACCCAACAAGAAGTTTTCTGCGTTCCGCTTGAGAAAAAGGAGTAAGAGTTTCCAGAACCTTATGGTGGATACCAGGTAAGCAGTCTATTCCATGGGAAAGTAAATTTCAAAACTATAACAAAATGTGCATACATCAATCTTACCAAAACACATTTCTGACGTGCAAATATTTCTGCATATCAAAATCTTTGAGAAGCATCAATATAATATTACATTAAACTTCTTTCTTTCTTTTGCTTTACCAGTGCTTCGATACGACTCTGAAGAGGAAATCTATCAAAGAGATGAATCATTTTACTGTTTATTTCAGGCACTTTCTCCGCAATATATCAAAGACTGATAATAAAAGGGAAACAAAGGCCGTAACATTGCAAGAAAACTCTGAACAGTGGTCTTGCTCATACATGTAAGTCGTCCTTTTAAAAGCACTGCCAAAAATAGAAGCTGCAAGTAGAAGCATGAAATTTTGAGTTTGGTATTTTATTTGGGATGTTATGCTCGAGCAGGTTTTGTCAAAGCTGTTTTCCCCCGTGTTGTTGTGCAGTAATCCACGACCACCTCTCCATCTGTCCTCTTCCTTTGTGAATGTTTCCAGGGAAACCACCAGTGCCAATGGAACAGCCAGTCCCATCCCACCAGGTAGTATGCTTGTAGCTTAGGCAACACCAATTTAATTTGTTGTTTCTCGGATTTGCCCTGTCCATTTTTTTCTGATTTGCAAAAAAATATCTTTTCTGAAAAAATCCTAGAAACAACGAATTAAATTGGTATGGCCTTATCCAAGGAAGAAGATGAAGTTGTAGATTGTAGTTTATATGGAAACAATAAAAATAATCTTTTTGATTATATCACAAGAATGTTTCAGAATCCATACTTTCAGTCCTTGACTACTCTTGAAAAATTAATTTTCTTGTGCGCTTTGATCATGCTGTATTAAACATTAACCAATTTCAATAATTCTTTTAGCATTACAAAGAGATGAGAAGAAGCCAACACACTGATTAGAGTAGTTTCAGAGCTAAATGTTGTTAGTATCAGAAGTCTGTCTTTATAATATACTTTTGCATCTGTTTACCTGTACTTGGCCCGCTAAGGCATGAATATACAACAAAGGTTATCTTATTCTATAACACAGACTGTTTTGGGGCAGCTTTCAGCATTCAAAATAGACAGAGATTTCAGACTCTTTCAAACAAGATGTACATTTGATTCTAGCGTGGAGGTACTACAACGTGAACGGTGCAGTGCTCAGGGCAAGAGGACTCAGGGGAGACATGCTGAAAAAAGAGCTGTACTGTAGGCTACACTTTGTTAGGTAAGGCAAGCTGAACACTTAGTAACTGTTATAGTTGCAACGTTAACAAGGAATTTAAGATCTCATACATGTGCCTCAGTGAAATATATAGAATTTTTATGAATTTCTTGTTTTATTCATTACTTTTTTCACGGGTTGTCTTATAATGCATTTTCCCACTGGCTCACGTAAGGTTACAGACATGTATATAGTGGCAAGCTGAAACCTTTGTGGGACCTTTGACCTTACTCTGTCAGTGTCCCAACATGCCTAGAAAGTGAAAATAACTATACAGAAACACAGGCAAACATACAGACACAAAAAACTCCACATGTGGAGGTAAGTTTGATAACATCTGTGGAAATAAAGGAAGAAAAATGCCCTTATTTTTCTTTCTAGGTAGAATAACCCTAATGAAAGTTTTCTACGTGTAGAAACAACTCATGTCGTCCCAAAGTACTGATCTGATTGACTTTCCATCCACAGTTTTAATGCCAAAGGACGAAGCTTCAAAGCCCAGCAGATCTGCAAAACAGAAAAAGTCAAGGCTTCTCCTGCTCCGTACTTTGATGTCACATTTCAGGTATGATCATCATACTGTTTTCTTCATGCTTTGAGCTTTGTAAACATGAACATTTGTACATATTACTGTTACTGTTTGCTCAGAATTCTTCCTTCTTTTCTGCCTAATTTGTTTCACTCTTAGACTGTTATTTCCATCCAACTTTGCCCACTGTTGTGTTGTTTTGTGACAGAATGTTTCTTGTCATCTCTTGAAGTCCTTTTGACTCAATTCTCAGCTGTATTTCAGCTGCACATAATGCAGTTTTCAGAACAGGTGTTTGTGTTTGCAGGTGCCGGCAGATCTGACAGGTGCAGTAAACGGCAGCTGTATTCTACAGATGGACATCAAGAACATCGACAAACAGGTGGTGACCAGGGGTTCTGCATCTATCAGTGAGATCCTCGGAGGTTAGATGCCTTCTTCTTAATGCTGTATAGTACTATCATGATAATGACAATTATAATATTATTGTTTTTTTTTACAAGAAGCAAACTACAGTCTGGTACATGAAGGTGTTGTAAAAGATACCTCCAGTCCACACTTTTAAAGATTGACATTAAGTTTAGGGAGGCTTTTGTAATAAAGGAACTGTGTAGCAATCAATCAAGCTGTGTAATAACATACACCAATGCCAGCGATGAACATTGTCATTTGTTAGTTAGTGCTGACGTAGCAGCTACTGTAAAGTGATCAGGAAATCAGCACCAAGGACATGTACCATGAACTCCCACCCCAGACAGTAAACTTAAGCTTGTTCTATGTAATGTTACTAAATCTGTTGATTGCTGGCCTTTCTCTTTCTTGTCTTACAGAGTCAAGAGAAGTCCGTAAGTGGCTGAAAATGGATGATGGTAAGTTTAACTTAAGTCTGAGTGCAAGTACTGGTTTCAATTCACAGTTTATGAATGGTTCAGTTTTTACCTTCATGAACAAATTGTTTGTTTTTGCTGTGTTTGTTTGTGTTTGCTTGTGTGTTTTTGCAATTATTTTCAAATGCTAGTCATATCAAAGACTGTAAATTACAGGAAGTTAGGTCAAAGGTCCCAGAAAAGGCTATCTCATTTCTTCAACATGTATGCCCCTTCCCTTATGGGAGACAGTTGTGAAACACACAGACAGAATCAGCAAGAAATTCTCAATGATTAAAACATTAGAAATTCAGAAAAACACAGAGGTAGGAAATCTTTTATTTTTTCATATTTGAGCTGTGATATTTGGTCCCTTCAGATGCTGAGGTAGAGATCCAGCTGTACAGTAGTCACCACACCAGCACAGCCGACCCCCCGGAGGTGCGCCCCTCCACCCCCACCCGCTCCATCAGCAGCCCCAGCATGCAGAGGCTCAGCGTCTCCGGACAGTCACCAGACCTGCTAGCAGTGCCCCCTAGTGGTGATACAGTGCCAAACACCCCAGCCAAGCCTACAAGCTGAAACTGCAGGGGGAGGACCTGATTATGACTGTAGTAACTCCATGGGAGACC